CAGGAATTAGGGTTACTGTGTAAAACTTAACAACGGGACGGGAGAGAAGAAAACAACCACTGCGATGGTCAAGAAAGTCAGATCACGTCCATAATCGGGCACGTCGTGCAGGGAGGTGAAGGGGCTGCATGCACGGACCATTTGAAAGTTCAGACACAGGCAGACAAGAGCCAAAATCTCACGTCCACAGGAGGGGATGGCCTGCAGAGGTACGGTGGTTCACGGACATCCAAAATACCAAGTGGGCTGTGATCAAAATGTAGTACTAGATGAGAAGTGGAAAAAGAGCAATAAAAATCACATTTAAGGAAGATCCTTAAATGTACAAATTGAAGGTACTCTCATAAAACTCCAGAATGATTGCTTGCTTACATGGAAGTGGATCGATGTGGTTTTCATACCCTTTAGTACATCACCTGAAAGGCTGGGGGAAGATCCTGCACGACAGCAGGGGAGAAGTAGCCTCACCTTCTCATACAAAGGATTCTGAAATTATATAGAGGGGAAAAATCCCCGTCTCTAGACGAAACAATTTTAAACTACAGTCTGCTAGTAGCTCTAAGTCCAGTCTCCATCAGCAAGAGTCATGACTAGTCCTCATAGTCACAACCAGGACTACCTGCATCAAACGGCGAGGTGCTGGGGCAAAGCGAGGGCGAGGTGACCTCCTTTAGTCCTTTCCAGCTCTGTTTTTTCTGATGGTGAATATTTTCTTGATCTGCGATGCTATCTGGCCGTGCTGAGAAGCATCAGAGAGCAGCTAACAGTGAGGAAATGTCTCAGGAGACACTGCCCCGGAGTGGGAAGCAATCCGATCTGCGCCAGAAGAGTGGAGCATCCTGTGAAACGCCATAAACATCATAGGCAGCTATTTTGGGCAATTTTAATGATTTAGTGCAGGACCGTGACCCAGGGAAAGCTCTTCTGGCTAGCTGAGGGACTTCAGCCCGCTCTTTGTGTTGTGTTCTTCATGTGACATTGTTGCTTGCAACAATAAATGGAGAGAGGCAGTTCTTGCCTCTGCCACAGAGCAGTGGTACAAGTTCTGGGTGAGCAGAGGTGACAGTCTCCACGACGTGCCCGACCAGCCCGTGCCCGCAGGCTCCAGGTCAGATGCCTTAAGAAAAAGCTGGTTTAATCCTCCATGTGCAAGTTTTCTGCGGTCCTTAGGGAGTGATTAGCTGTGCTAGTTCATTTTCGTGGCATTTTTGGTGGGTTTTGCATCTGCCAAGTCATCAGCTGGTGTAAAATAGTGCAATTTTAACTGGACTGTGTTACAAAGGCTTTGTAGTAAGTTTAACTGAGAAACTGGCTCCATAACTATTACAAGATAAAGGTACTGGCATAGTGTACCCTCCCTTATCCAGAGTCCTTGTTACTCATAACAGGGTCATGTCCTCTGACGTGTCTTAATTATGTGGAAATTCCTCTGCCTCATTTCAAATATTTATCTCTTGTTTGCAGGCAAGTTGTGTTTTTTATGTGTTAATATAGATCCGTAGCTGAGCCTCTGTCTGGATGCTCACCTCTGATACAGGGGGGGTGCAATGAAATTAATGTTGGTATTTCAGAGATTAAAAGTCAGCTGAGACAGAACAATGCTGGATAGTCTCAGGTGAGATTCTATGTAAAGTGGAAGCATCTTTTTAGCTCACGGAAGGAATGCCTTTAATTCCAGTGAAATCTTCAACTCCTATCAGGCAGGATGCCCTTTCCAGTCTGACCCATGATACTGTTAATAGCCATCCAAGGGTTTCCACTTCATCTAAAGAAATGCATAATCAGAGGGGAGGAGAAGTAAAAGAAATCCATGCCTACACTTGACTCATACAAAGTCTATTTTTATCGTATTCAATCAGGAACAATCAGGCACAGAGAGGAGACGCAGACGAATTTGCATGATCAGACTTCTGTGTCTTAAATGTTAATTAAAAGTTATTTTAAATTTGCCTACTGTGCAGAACTTGTTTTTATAGTAGCCCGTGTAAGGGAAATATTATTTCACAGGGCTGAAGTGCTTATGATTAGTTGAGCTTGTGGATTCTTGGGAAAACCTGCCTGGCAATCAACTTCTCCTTTAAAAAAAAAAAAAAAATTAAAGAAAGGGAAAAAAGAAACTGAGCTATTCGAGTTCTTTAAGCTCCTGAGCCTTAGGAGGTCTTATTTAAAGCTACTTTAAAATTTGCCCTTTGGCACTGCTTTGAGAATCTCCTCTTCCGAGGCTGAATCCAGCGGAGCATGTTTTAAAGAGGCAGC